CCGCAGCAGTATAGCAACACGGAACTACCAGAAATTCAAGCTTGGTTCAGAAGATGATGTGGAACAACGGTACCATTACTTATGCAGAAGATATCAGAAAGATGTTAACCTGCGTCTTACTGACTACACAACGTCATTCGATTGTGTACATCATGAAACGTCAGAGATAACACTGCAAAGAAACTGTACAGGCCAAGAGGCAGTCTTTCGAACAGAACAGGGCGAGGCTGCATGGCTCAAAGTCAGGAAAGGTGTGTGTCAGCGTTGTATCCTTTCACCATATTCAGTCTGTACGCTGAGCAAATAATCCGAGAAGCTGGACTGTATGAAGAACAGGGCATCAGTACTGAAGGAAGACTCATTAACAGCCTGCGATATGCAGATGACACAGCCTTGCTTGCTAGAAGTGAAGACTTGAAGCACTTACCCATGAAGATCAAAGACCACAGCCTTCAGTATGGATTACACCTCAACATAAAGAAAACAAAAGTCCTCAAAACTGGACCAATAAGCAACATCATGACAAACAGAGAAAATACTGAAGTTGTCAAGGATTTCATTTTCCTTGGATCTACAATCAACACCCATAGAAGGAGCAATCAAAAAAATCAAACAACGTATTACATTGGGCAAATCTTCTACAGAAGACTTGTTTCAAATGTTAGAAAGCAAGGATGTCACTTTGAGGACTAAGGTGCACCTGACCCAAGCCATGGTATTTTCAATTGCCTCACATGCATGCAAAAGCTGGACAATGAATAAGGAAGTCTCAAAAAAGTTGATGCCTTTGAATTATGCTGTTGGTGAAGAATACTGAATATACCATGGACTGCCAGAACAACAAACAAATCTGTCTTGGAAGAAGCACAGCCAGAATGCCCATTAGCAGCAAGGATGGCAAGACTTTGTCTCACATACTTTGCACACGTTATCAGGAAGGACCAGTTCCTGGAGAAGGACATTGTGCTTGGTAAAGCAGAGGGTCAGCGAAAAAGAGGAAGACCCTCAACGAGATGGACTGACACAGTGGCTGCAACAATGGGCTCAAGCATAACAACGATTGTGAGGATGGTGCAGGACTAGGTAGCGTTTCGTTCTGTTATACATAGGTCACTATGAATCAGAACTGACTTGACAGCGCCTAACAACACCACATATGATAAAAGGCATTGCTTTTCAGGTGAGACAGGCTTGGTCTGCGTGAACAACCTGGCAAATCACTTAGTGTCTTCTGACCGTTTCCTCACTGGAAAATGAAGGTCCACTTGTAGCTTTCATAGTTTAGGTTTCTTATTTAACAATTTCGGCTATTATTCTATTAATCTATGAACTCTCTCCCTCTATACGATCTGCACGGAGCTTGACACCAGTTACCCAGTGTATATGTTCACGACTTTGATCCTATGTCCACAGAAAAGCTGACAAATTAATTTAATAACTCCTTGTTGAGAAAACATTCTGGAAACATTTCTTTAAAATGCACTTACGGGCCCCAACAGCCCTGTAAAAAAGACAGGATGGAGTTATTTACCATCCTCTTTCATCTATGAGGAAATTGAGACTTAGAGAGATTGAGATTTGACCATCACACGATTTAGGAAGCGGCAGAGTCAGTCCTGGGCCCTGGCTCCCTTCAGACAGGCCCAGCTCCACCAGGCGAGGACACCCACCACAGGGGGACACCCACCAGGTGAGGACATCCACCACGGGGGGGACACCCACCACAGGAGGACACCCACCACGAGGGGACACCCACCAGGCGAGGACATCCACCAGGTGAGGACACCCACCACAGGGGGACACCCACCACGAGGGGACACCCACCACAGGAGAACACCAAGTGAAGGAAGCTGCCGTCCTCCCACAGAACAGACTCGCAGCACCAGCCATGTCCCAGCACACACAAAGCCCGGTCACCCACAGCCCAAGCGTACAACAGGAACCAGTATGGATGAACGTGGCAGGATGGCCCGGGACGGTGTGTATGGCTCCCCCACATACATTACCTAGAAGCAGTGGAGGGACTGGAGTTGTGGCCCATGGGGAGCATGCTGGTATGGGCAGGCATCCCGAGGCTGGACCAGTTGTCGTGGGTCTGCAGCATCGACAAGCACGCAGATGAGTTGTCAGAGTACGCTAAGGGGTACAAGAACACAGAGTTACTGGATGGGGTCTTCCAGGAGAAACAAGGGCAATGAACTATCACCAATAACTGCAGTCACCCAACATTGAAAACAAAACATGCTCTAAGATATTACACATAGCAAACAATCCATTAGCCTGTTTCATTGGTTCCCAAAGGCAGTACCTATTGCCAAACAAAATGTATATTTGAAAATACCTTCCAGTAAACCCTGACTTTTTTCTTTATCACCAGATCAATAGATGCTCGTAGAAACAGAGTTCTAGAATCATCTGATTGGGAATTAATCATCTGTAAAAATAACTGTAAATTTAACTTTAACTGGCTTTTCTCCAAAACAATTTCATGGAGTTGAAGGGGACATTAGAATCTGGTACCCCAGGCAAATGAAGATGATTTTCTAGCATCGGAGCCTCGTCTCTGGTTGAACAAGTCCCAGCCAATGACCATTTCCTCAACATGTAAGCTCTTTTCATTGAAAGTCAGCTTTAACTGTTTGTTTTGTGGTGTCCCTTTAGAACGAGGCAAGAGGCAAAAGTCTAAGCGTAGGACAGGCTGCAGAATTAGGCAGGTGGGTCTTAGTCCACTGCTCGCTACCCTTAAGCAGGCATCAGAACCACCCAGAGGGCCTGCTGAAACACAATTTGCTCAGCCTGCTCCTAAAACCAGGACCAGCTGCTGTGGAGTCAACGCGGACTCCTGGCGACCCCACGTGGGTCAGAGGACTACTGTGCTCCCATAGGATTCTCAATGGCTGATTTTTAGGAAGGAGACCGCCAGGCCTTTCATCCGTGGTGCCTCTGGGAAGACCCCAACCTTCTGGTGAGCATTTACCACACCAAGGGACTCCAGGTCACCTCTGGATTCTTAGTCCCTCTGGGAGGGGGCACTTGTCACAGCCCCCACGTGATGTGGCAGCCAAAGCTGGTAATTCTCACGCTCGGCTGACCCCAGAGTCACTTTAGAGGTTCGTGAAGGAGCCAGACCTGGGCCTCACCTCAGAGGTCACTCCACAGTCCTTCCCACTCCCGCAGTGACCGATACACATCCAGCACGGGAAGGCCCTGGTCTGGACCACCATGTGGCTAAGCCTGCAGTGCCCAAAACATGCAGGCGGGCTCTGGAGGACGCCCCCTCTCTGCTTCAAGGGCGCACATGTACCCCGTCCCCTATTTAGCCAAAATGCAGTTGATAGTTATGGAGCCGACTCTGACTCACGGCGCCCGCGCACAGTAGAACTGCTCTAGAACTGCTCCATAGGGTTTTCAAGGCTATGAACTTTCGGAAGCAGATCCCCAGGCCTGTCTTCAAAGGCGCCTCTGGGTGGCCTTTCGGCTAACAGTGAGCACTTAACGATCTGCACCAGCCAGGAACGCCATGGGCTCCGCCACCCCACAGAACCCACCGTCTGGCCACCGACAAACCCCGGTATACCCAGGCTGGCGACTTACTTGGCGAATTGTTGCGGTGCGTGTACGGGCTGGGGTAGGGGGTCGCGCGGTGGCTCCTCAGGGCGGGGTACCGTTCACAGCCGTGGGTGGAGGGGAGTGAGAGAGGACCTCCAAACTGGGGGTGGGGGCTGGCGGGTGGACAGAGGGTGCTGGTTCCGGGGAGAAGCCACCCCCCTGCTGTGAGAAAAGGATGCTGAGTGACTGGTATTTGCATTGTCTGGTTACGTTCAAAGAGGGGGAGGGGAGCCCGAGGCTTCTGGGCCTTTTCCTTGAGTCCCTGATGAAGTGAAGGATCAGGGTTCACACGCCGCCTAACCCCGGAGCATGAGTCCTCAGCATTACCGGGAAGGGAGACA